ACTTGCATATGTTTTATTAAATATTCTTAGATGTTTTTATCTTGCCTCCAGTTTGAAAGTGAACCTTCTTAAAAGCAAGGTATATGATATTGGTGTGGATGATCTTGAGGTTTCTCGCCTTGCTAGCATCTTACATTGTGAGCCCGCATCTTTTCCTTTCATTTACATTTGCCTTCCTATTGATGCAAATATGAAGCTTGCAAATAACTGGAACCCGATTTTGGAAAAGTTCAAAACTAAGTTGTGGAAAGCTAATAATCTTAATTTCTTTGGTGAGAGGCTTACTCTCATTAAGTACATTTTAGGGAGTCTTCTTCTTTATTATTTTGCTCACTTTAAAGCTCCCAAGAAGGAAATTGAGACATTGGAAGGCATTAAAAAAAGTTTCTTTGGGGAGGCGTTGATAACAAGAGAAAGATTCATTGGATGGATTAGGACACGGTGACAATGCCTAAGGAGAAATGAGGTCTTGGAGTGGGTAGTCTTAGATCTCTTAACATTTATCTTTTTGCTAAATGGTGGTGGAGGCTAAAAAGTGAAGTGAATTTGCTTAATTTGGTCATCTTGTATTAAGGCTTTACAAATTGTATTGATGGGAAGCCTTTTGCTAAGTTTGGAATTTCGGGTACTTGGCTTTCGATATATCAAATAAACAAGGAGCTTGGAGATTGGGATTTGTCTCTTGAAGAACTTTTTTTTTCAAAAAATTGGTGGATGGTAAACATACTCACTTTTAGAAGGACAAGTGGTGTTAAGATCTTACGTTAAAGGACTCTTTTCCAAAGTTGTACATGCTTAAGGTAGACAAAAATTTAAAAGTTGCATAATTGGTCCCTTATGGTAAAAGTTTTGCGTCTTAGCCCGTACGTTGGGCGTACTTGAGGGTATGCGCAACGTACTCATGAGGTGCGGATCGCGGATGCTCTACTAGTACGTTGCGCATACGTGTGGTATGTCAGGCATACTAGCCTAATCTGTAAAACCTAATTTTAAGGGTTTCTCCTTATTTAAACCACCTTATACCTTCCTTGAGCATTCCGTATCAGCCTCCATTCCCTCAAAAACCCTAATCTCGAGTCTAATCTTACTTGTGAGAGTTTGGGAGCTTACTAAGTGGTATTAGTTCATATTTGTTGAAGAAGGAGGCTATAGAAGAAGGAGGTGTTGCTTGCAAGCTTTGTCTCCATGGATGATTTTTATGAGCTTTTTTCCCAAAGTTTGGACCTTTATGAGTTTGGAGCACTCCAGAGTATTAGTTGTCCTTTCATGTATTTCAGGACTTGTAGACTCATAAAAATGGTTGCTTGATCATTCCTTATGGACCATGCATGAGTAAAATGACTTAGAGTGTGATGGAAGTTAAAGTTTGTTGCATTGGGTCCTTTCTAGCCATGTAAAGGCTTAAAGGCGATGTCTTTATAGGTTAAGACACCCTAGGTTGGTCAGATCTGAAGTTGGTGAAGTTGGATCAGGCGAAGTACATCGGACGTATCGGCGTAGCCAGTCCCGTCCCTAATTGGTCGCTGATCAAGTAGTACGCCCAGTGTATGCGTTGGGGAGTTGACTTTCATTGACTTTTGACCTTTGGTCAAGATTTAGGGTTTTGGACCTTGGGAAGGGGGAAATGGTATTTTTGCCCTTAATAGGACTTAGTTGTGGGAGTTGGACTTGCGATTTAAGTTATGAACCTTAATTATTAATTAGTATGTGGCGTCTAGTTCTAGCAGTTCGAGTGTGAGATTTATATGTCATCAGTATCAGGTGTGTATCCTCACTTATTCTTACCCATGTGGTAGAATAGTTGTACTTGTGATGACTAATTGGGTATACTGTTATTTTTTATTGTGTTGTTTGTGTGTGACTGAGACTGCGGGTAGTCTCCAGGGTTGCTAATTACCCATACGGAGTATTATTGCCCACTGGTACTGTTGATAGTCCGATGGGTTGCTGATAACCCATAGCTGTATATTTATGATGTGTTGTATGTGGTATCTTGGGCAAATCACTAAGCGTTGTGCTTACATTTGTTGATTTACATGTTTTAGGTACTTCTAAGGACCACGGGAAGGCGAATGTCTGATTGTACACACTCCTTGGGAATTTTGTTACTGGGATAGTTGTGATACTCTGATATTTTGTGGTGATGTTTTTTAGTCACTTATGTTTTGATAACATGGGTTGTGAAACTTTAGTTTTGGTAAATTAAAAGTGAAAGTTTGGTTTAAAATTTGAGTGTTACAATTTCCAAGTGCGGTTCCATGTGGGACATCATTATCAAGAGAAAGTGTATAGCCAGTTCTGATTGTATTGCGGGCTTAGGGTTATGTAATGGATAATGCTTAGTATTCGGTTGTGATGATGGAATGTTTAGGTTACTTTTTCCGAGGTCCCACGACATCAATAGTGGCACATGAATATATGTAGGTAGGGTCTGGTTGAGGTTTGTGTTAGAGCCTCCCTGCATGTTCTTGTCTGATAAAGGCTTGGGGTTCGAAGCACGACCCGAACACCTGATTAAGTGATTAAGGTTCAGTAGGACACGGTTTTGACTCATGTTGCTTATGGTTTGGTATGATGGATGGATGAAAAGACCATAGGTTGGGCCCATGGCTATTGTGGAAGTGTTGTAAGACTACAGGGTAGCCATAGTATTCACAAAGTTGATAGGTTGTTGTGGAAGTGTTGTAAGACTACAGGGTAGGCATAACATTCACAAGATTGATATGCTGTTATTGAAGTGTTTTAAGACTATGAAGTAGCCATAGCATTCGCAAGGAAGAAAGGCTGGTGTGGAAGTGTTGTAAGACTATGGGGTAGCCGTAGCATTCACAAGGTTGATAGGCTGTTGTGGAAGTTTGTAAGTCTATGATGAGGGTCGTTGCATTCACTAGGATGAGTTAGAGCATTACGGTACTGCTTTTTGGACTATATGAGGATTATAGCAAATGCATGGTTTGAGTTGGACCGTTACTGTTGGTTAAACACTCCTTATTGGGAATAAGGATTGTTGGAGCTGTAACGATGTTTTAGCCTTGTATATCCCTTGGGAGGGTGATACTTATGTGAAAGGCCCGACCGGTTAGGTTAACTTGGGTGAGCAGACCATTCAAACATTTGAAGATATGCTCAGAGTATGATATGTTAGTCGTAAGTCTCCAGATCAGTGATAGAGTGATGGCAAGATCATTGTGACCTCGAATCTTAAGTATTCTAGTGGATTGGGCGGTATCACAGTTGATCGTGAAGCAGTAAGTGCGTGATTTCTGAGGGTGGAACTCGGTAGTAATTGGCTTACTTAAGGTGTTAGATCATGTTTAGAGTGGGGAGACTCTGTGATCATCATGTTGGGTGAGTATGGTAAGTAGGCTAGGGTAGCCTTTGTCAGTTAGACTCTTGGGCGGAGTTATGTGGTGCGACCAAGCGTGAGATTGTCAGTCTCAATGGATAGTTGAGGATTCTGCATCCAAGTTTGGTAGAAAGTTAGCATGGAATCAGAAGATTTTGGATAGATTGAATATTTGAATAAAACATTCTTAGGCTACAAAATCTATCCTAAACCTATAATCAAACAATGAACAGGAAATAAGACTAAATTAAACATTCACAGGCTATAAAATCTTAGTTATATACAACCAAGATGCATGCACTAAGAAACAATAGTAATAATGTCAGTTTCATATAACATAACAATAAATTATCCTAGGTTATCAAGCATCATACATCAATCAATTCTATCATGCAATTCCTAGAGACCCTTATCTTACATACTAGAATGCAATTCTATCATATCATCAATGCACAAAAAAATATGGGTATCTTAGGGAATCACTTTCCTTGGCTCCGATTGATTGTATACATCACATCCTGTCTGTTGGTTCTTTTAGAGTTAAATTTTAAAAAACATTTTGCAGATCCTTAGTTTGAGTTAGGAGTCACACAAGTGTTCATCCAATTCTATCAAACCAGAGCTTTGATACCAACTTGTAACATCCCAAAAATCATGACAAAATTTTCATTTTTAAAACCATTCCAAAATCTATAAATTACACAAAAACATAGTTTCTAAAAACCATAATCATAAATCAGAGTATCCCAAAATCATAATTCAAATAAGAATCCAAAATAATGTGCATAATTACGCCTTCACCTTGCCCTTATCCTCTGAGGTACCTGACACCAGTAAATCAAACTATAAGCTAACGCTTAGTAAGTTCCCCCAAAATACCACCACACAAACATATAACAGTGTGCATATCAGGTCCATAATCATCAGACTAGATTATCCCTAAGCCCACAACTCATGTCTGGATTGCTCTCGATCTCACAACATAAGTCTGGATTTCCCTCCCGACCCTCAACTTATGTCTGGATTGCTCCTAAGTTTGTTGGCTTCCACACATAACAATATTTCCTCAACCCAACCATACTATGTCAACATATGCAACAAATAAACGTATAACCAGCAAAAACAAATAATCATACAGATTTACCAGTCTAACAAAACACTACATTATAGCAACATCTATATACCAGGATACATCATACAACCTAGTGGGGCGTCATCGGTGCTTTGACCCACGAATATAGTGAGAAAAACTCACTTCACAATCTGAATGATAGTTGAACCGATCATTGCCCCAAACACTAGCTCTACGGGTCACATGTACAACATACAGGGACCAAGCCTCAATCTACTACTCAAAATACCCCAAATATTGGTTCTCAAAAGAACTTTTTATTTTATTTACATTTGATCATTTTTTTAATATATATCATCTAACTTGTAGAAATTGTTTAAATTATCAAAAATGTAAACAAACTCTAAATGATATATGGTATATAAAAAAATGAATAAACACAAAATCAAAATTTTGTTTGCATGTAACAACTAACAACTATTAAAACAGTAAAAAAGAATTACAATAAATTAACATTGGAAATAAAAAGTTACATAGTTTTAACAGATAAGAAAATAAATAAATAAACAATTGGATATCCAACCGGAAACTAACACTAGCAATAGAAGTGTGAAAGAAAATAGAGTAGTAGAAGAGCAGCAAAGCAACACAGATTTGCTTCCATTTCAACTGAAAATTCGTCTACAAAACCGACGAGATAAGGGTTGAGCGGATCGGATCCAAGTAGAATCGGGTTGGAAAGAGAGTGTATGATGGATCAGGAATCGGGTTGGGAAGAACTGAGGAAAGAAGCTCGTAAGATCGAAGGCGATCTTGATGTTAAGCTCTCTTCTTATGCTAAGCTCGGCGCTCGTGTCACTCAAGGAGGTTCGTAACTTCCCCCCCTCTTTCTCTGTCAGTCCGTATATATGATCATCACTTCAAATTTCAGATCTTACTCGTCACGATTCACATTCTCAAATTCAAAACCCTAGAACTGGTATTGGACGAATTTAGGATCATTTCGGATGCTGATTTTATGTTTGGTTATGTACTTGCGTGTCAAATTTCTGAATCCTATGTAGAAGAAGTATCAATTTCATGAAATTACTACGCGATGTACTTTAATGATGGATCAATTAAGTTAAAAGTTACTAGAATGGTTCGGTTTTGCTATTGCAGTAATCTGTCGCTTCCGTACTCCTAATATTTACGATCCTTAATCTACTCTGTGTTTGATTAGATCACATTTTTATATAAACCTACCTTATACTCCATCTGCTCTGAGATTAGAGTCAACTTCTAAAGGATTTTGTGTAACAAGAACAGACTCAAGCAATGCAAGATGACCTAATGCACCAAGTGTACAACAGTACAACACATATTTACCTTCATCTTCAAATCTTCATAGAATGGAGGGTGAAACATGTTATGATGATTAGCAACCTAAACATTAGATTTAGAACAAGAGACAAAGTTACTTGGATGCATACTTGCTGATGATTATGCTTTGGGAAACAGGTTTTGCAGATGCTGAAACACCAACAATGGGCTCCAACCGCTCATGGAAGTCAATGGAGATGGAAATCCAGTCATTACTTGAGAAGTTGTTGGATGTGAATGATTCCATGAGTAGATGTGCTGCATCTGCAGCACCTACCACTTCAGTTACACAGAAGCTTGCAAGACACAGGGATATACTTCATGAATTTAGCCAGGTTCTTACTTGAATTTGCTTAATATTTTTCCCTTATGAGTTATGATAACCACCATCATATTCACCACATAAAGATATATCTGCTGTGTACTTCAGAAATTTCATGCCATTGCTTCCATTTCCATCATAATATCACAATGATGGCATATGGTCAAAGTCAATGTTAACTAAGATTCTTATAAATTCACATTTGGCCCCTGCCCTATGTTAATTGCTATTGCCCTTTTTGTTTTTTGTTTTTTAATCAGATTTTTTGTATTCTTGAACATTCTGTAGGAATTCAGACGAATCAAAGGAAACATAAGTGCAATGACAGAGCATGCTGAGCTTCTAAGTTCTGTAAGAGACGATATCAGTGAATACAAGGTCAGAAAATGAACATTCAGATCAGATAAATATTTTTGACAAAATATTATTCTTGAAAAGTATGACCTTAGAACATTTATATACAGGCATCTGGGAGCATGTCACCAAGAATGCAGATACTGAGGGAAAGAGCTGCTATCCATGGAAGCATATCACATGTAAGCTTTAATTGCTAATATACATATAATACCTATATATAAATTGGTAAATACAAAATTTTGGAAGAAAAAACTATTAACTTTTAGGGTTTGGTGTAGATGGATGATGTGATAACTCAGGCTCAAACAACAAGAGCAGCTTTGGGGTCTCAAAGGGCCATGTTTGGTGATGTTCAAGGGAAAGTTAAACAACTAAGTGACAAGTTCCCCATAGTTCGGGGACTAATCGGTATCTTTCTTTTACTTTTTCTGTTTTTCAATAAAGTGATTCTTAAAATGGATCAAGTGAGGTTTATCTAAATCATTTACAGGGTCTATTAGAAGGAAGAAATCAAGGGATACTCTCATTCTATCTGCTGTCATTGCGGCTTGTACGTTGTTTCTCATTATATATTGGCTGTCAAAGTGAAAAAGGCTAATGTCTTTATCATGAAAATGTGAAAACAATGTTATATTCCATAGAAATTTTGTCCAGTTTGTTATTAAAATTCACAACTCGGAGACTTTTTTTGTGCATTTTTTGGACGTTTACTTTCTTATTGTTGAGATAATGAGGTAGTTATATGATGTATATCCCTTGCTTTTGGAGGGTGTTATAGTTTATTCAAAAGCTGTCATTTGATTATTTGAATAAGACATAGCATAACATAAAAAAGAACTTGTAAATCATTGAAAAAGCAATATTATTCTATTCTTAAAAGTAATAGAATCTATTATATAAAGTATATGGTTCATTGAGAAAAAGTTCTTTGTAATTAAGAGGTTGTTTGGTAAAACCTGAATGATTAATCTAGTGTTGTTTGGTAATCATTCAGAGGCCTGAATGTCTTGGTGATGTTTTGTAAGTTTATTGAGCGGATATGTTGAATGAGAAAATCTATCATTTTAACCTTTTAACAAAAAAAAACTTCACCATTAACAATCTCTACAAAATATCTAAACAATAACACGTATCAATTAATAATTTGAACCACAAAATATAAAATGGTTACTACTTTATCACTTCCATCAAGGACATCTATAGTTGGTACTTTATCATAAAAATATTCAAGAATGATAAATATAAACCTAAAATAATCAAGAATGAATTTCACATTATACCTTTACACAGTTTCCTGAAATTTGACACTACAACATTCACAAATAATGCGATCAAGAATGAATTTGACTCATACTGCCCCCCTCCAAAAATCCAAAAAGTCAAAATAAGCATCATTAGAAAGTCAAAATCAGTTCTTGAATAGAAAGGGAAAGAACGCCAAGTGAAACAAGCATTCTTGAATTAGTTATTGGAAGCCCATGAGGGAAAGAACGCCAAGTCAAAATAAGTATCAATAGGAAGTCAAAATCAAATCCATGACTTTGAATTAATACCTAAACGTTCAAGAACACAGAGGAACAATGAGGAGAGAAGAGGGCAAATGTGTTTGTGTATGTGTTTGTTGAAATGAATGGTTCAAGGTTAAATGCTAAATTGCTTAGAGGCTACTTAACCATTCAGAAATTCATTTTAAACTTACCAAACACCTTGAATGTTGAAAGGTTAATAGGTTGCGTTTTAGTTGAATGGTTAAGAGGTGAAACAAACAACCCCTAATTCATCATAAATTCCATTTAACATAACCTCATGTGACAAGGAAAACATAACCCTACAGCCATACCATAAGGTCTCAAATGTGTTGTTTGTTTTAACCTTATTTTGAAGTTTCATCAAAACAACGTTGCTTTGCATATTGTTAAAATACTACATGAGTACTATTTGTAGCAAAAAAAAAAAAAAAAAAAGGTACTTGCACAACTAGAGTTTTAAGATTGTACGCTTTATTTGCTACATAAAATCAAAATCCTTCCTTAGGATAATACACCTTATAATGAAATTATGATTTAGTTGTATTTCCATAGATTTAGTGTGATCTCATACACGAAGTACACATCAACACCATAAGCTCACAATAGGGTAAAATGAATTTAAACAAGTTTACTTTTGAATGTTTGTTATAGACAAGTAATATATTTTTATTGAACATCCGGTTAGTGGTTAAAAGTTAGTAATATATTTTTTAAGTTCAGATTTTAAAAGGGTATGAATTAGTTTTTATTTTTATTTTTTCATAATCATGATATTTGAATTGTACAAGATTTTACTCCACCGGTTCACACATAAAAGGGAGATATCAATGACTCCCAATTGCATTATGATTAAAAACAACTCATCATGTGACAGACCAGTGTTGCTAGAAGATGATGCATCCAGAGGCGAAATTACATACAACTGTGGTGGGTCACTTGACCCACATTTTTTTAACAAGTTATATATAATAGTTTTTAGTGACCTACCATATAAAAATTAAATGTACCACCTTATTATTTTTGGTAAAGAAAAAAAATATGAATAAGATTTTAAAGCTCATATCCTATAAGTTAATAGCCCAATATTATTCTAATATACATAATCTAATAAAAATTAAATTTTAAAAAATTGAGTCAAGATCGGCGACATTCTTTTCACAGAAGAGTTTAAGTTTTTATTTCATTCAAACACTTTTGGGAATTATGAATTTGGGATATCCCACGAAGTAGCCACACAACACAATAGGTAAATAATATTCTATCTTTTTCTAAACAATAAAATATGAAGGAATTGTATTTCCAGTTCATTTTTCATCTAAAACCACAATATTAGTAATGATCATTTGTATTCACTGTTTGGCCGTTCAAATGTATATAATTTAGGTTTTTTTTTTATTTTTTATAATATATATTGTTTCATACTCTTGATACTCTTAATGTGATATGATTATTTGATTCTTGTTAACTTGTTTGATTATTTGATTGTTGTTTCTTTTAGAAATTAAAATAAATGATGTCTTTATTAAAGTTTTTTCAAAAGAATGATAAAAAAACAATTGAAGACGATAATGAGTAACATGAGCATATGAGAGTTGATTTAAGTTCAATACCTGTTGATTCGACTGAACGATCGGGTATGGAATCCTATCATGTGAATCAAAGAGATGAAATTAGAAGCGGATACTTGCAAAAAAAGTCCTTTCCAACCTCAAAATATCTTGGTTTGATGACAAAAGATTCAAGATATCTTGGTTTGATGACAAAAAATATTGGTTAGAATATAGTATAAAAGAGAGCGCTGCCTTTTGCTTATGTTGTTATCTATTCAAATCCGATACACCAAACCAATGTGGATCAGATCATTTTGTGAAATCTGGATTTAAAGCTTGGAATAGGAAATCAGGACTAGATAACCATAAAGTTGGAACTCTATACAATATTGTTGTCCAAAAGTGTCAAGATTTAATGAACCAAAGGCAATCCATAACATATGCTTTTGAGAAACATACCACTTTACAAGAAAAAGAATATCGTACCCATTTGAATGCTTCAATTGATTGTGTTAGATTCCTATTGCATCAAGGATTAGCATTTCGTGGTCATGAGGAGAAGGACGACTCAGATAATAAAGGTAACTTTTTTGAACTTTTACAATGGTTAGTTGATTGATGTGATGTGGTAGATCGTGTTGTGTTAAAGAATGCTCCAAAAAAATACACAATTGAAATGCAGTGATATCCACAAAGATGTCGTGCAAGCATGTTCAGATATAGTTATGAATGTTATTAAGGAAGATCTTGGAAAAGATTTTTTTTGCAATTCTAGTAGACGAGTCACGTGATGTTTCTTGTAAAGAACAATTGACATTAGTATTAATGTTTGTAAATAAAAAGGGGGAAGTTGTAGAAAGGTTTGTTGGCCTTAGACATGTTAGTGACACTTCAGCATTGACACTAAAGGCTACCATTTATGATATGCTCTCAAAGTGGAATTTGAGTCCTACTAGCATTAAAGGGAAAGACTATGGTGGTGTTAATAACATGAGTGGTGCATTTAATAGATTGAAGACTTTGATTATGAATGAAACAAAATCTGCATACTTTATTCATTGTTTTACTCACCAGTTATAG